CCTTTTGAGGCCCCACAGCTCTGGGGTACTTTAGCTTATCGCCGATTTTAAATATTATATAGTTATTACGTGTTTACTCCAAGTCTAGGCAAATCTAATATGTGAAAATTAGGATTAATCATTTTAAAATTAAGTTATTATTCACTTTACAAAAAATTTAATTATTAATTCCTTTAACTATTCACCTTAGTGTACTTTAGTGTACTTAAAATATGTACGCTTTAGCTTACCAAAAAAAATATCACTCAACTTGTCAAGGCTAATTACAGCCTAAATATGGGTATTTAATGTCCTTTAGCCATTTAATCTATAAGAAATTGTTTCTTGTAGAGCTTTGAGAATAGAACTTAAATTCTTTCATTTTAATAGTAAGCTTCTGAGGAACCCGCCAGTTTTCTCACTGCTGATTCACTGGGTCTTGGCTTCAGCTTTTCTCACTCCTTTTCCTGATATACTCAAAATGTTTTCAAACCCCATCTACTCGTCCCATCTAAAACCTTTCTGAGTTCCTCCTATGTTCCAAGCCCTGTGCTAGGTGATGGGATGCAATAAAGAAAGATGTCTCCACCGTCTAAGAGCTCTTAGTCCAGGGATTAATACTCACACACCTGCCATGTTCTGGATCCACAATGTGTTATTGAATTTAGACCACATGGAAACCCCAGTTTACAGCTGAGAAAACAGGGTTTCAGAGAAGTTAAGTAATTTTCCTTTTATGCAGAATATGAATAGACAACTTACAGAAGAAATATAGATGATTGTAGACAGACGGAAAATATTCAACCTTACTAGTTATCAAAGAAATACATATTAAAGAAATAAATATACTATTTTTTACCTCCCAGATTAGTAACAAGATAAAGAATACTCGAAGTTGGTGGGATTGCAATAAAACAGGCTCCCCTCCACAGGGCCTCAGAGAACACAAAGTGGAGCAATCTTCCTGAGAAACAACTTAATAATGCGCAACAAGGACCATCACGAGAGGAACCTAATGTCCGTCACAAGAATATGAAATGAACAGTGTTAAACCCATACAGTGAAATTCCACACAACCTTTAAAAATCATGTAGAATATGTAATGACCTGTAAGATTTTCTGAATATTAAGTGAAAAAGCGTATTACAGAACAGTATATACTTTGGGATTATAGCCCATACAGAATTGTGTATGTGTGTGTATAGAAAATAGAAGACCAAAAGATTAGATACCAGCAGGTCAACAGAGGTTATTCATGAGGTGGGATGGGGCCCTTTCTGTTGATAGCTTCTAAATTTTAGTAATTTTTTCCAAAAATCGAATACATGAAAAAGATTTGCCTAGACTAGGAGTAAACACGTAATAACAATGTAATCATATTTAAAATTGGTAATAAGCTGAAGGACCCCAGAGCTGTGGGGCCTCAAAAGGAAGGAAGAGAATTGGTGTCAGGTTCACTTATTCCACTGCGTTGCAATAAATAGTAACGCAGACTAAGCCTCAAGCAGCTTGCTTAAAATCATCAGTTTGGTATGCTGTCTTCAGCCAGGCTTTCTAACTCTAAAATCCATTCTCTTTCTCTGTTCATCCCCACAGCCCCAATCCCATCATATTTAGAGTTCCTTTCTCTTTGGTCCTTTCTCCTCTTAATTTCTTCATCTACTCTATCCCTTCCCACCTTCTTCTAAACCATTTTAGCAGCAGTCACCCTGTGAATTGGATGTTACATGTAATACAAAGTGTAAACTATGTCCCTTAGATGAAAAAGGCAGTCTCCCCCTTAATGGGGAAACCTGGGACAACACATATCAGGAGAGGCATGATCTGACAGCCTTCAGATAAG